TTTTTTGGATTAGGTTAAGTCATTATTATGAGAAAGTTTCTCATTATTACGAGATACTAAGTCATTATTTCGAGAAAGTTTCTCATTACGAGAAACTAAGTCATTATTATGAGAAAATAAGTCATTATTTCGAGAAACTAAGTCATTATTACGAGAAAGTTTCTCATTATAACGAGATACTAAGTCATAATTTTGAGAAAGTTTCTCATTATTATGACTTACAGAATTATATTTTTTTATTTAGTGGCGGAAACGGGCTTCCATATGTAACACTTCAAAGAGAAAGGAAAACTTGAAATCGCATCATATGACCCCTTTAAAAGTGCTAAAAGAATCCTTAATAGGATCAGTAAGAAACCATTAAGTGGAATACAAACCAGAATCGAACGGAGCACAATTTTCTTTAATTCTGGACTGTGAATATTTTCAAAGACTGATGAAAATTCACACTGCACTCTGTGTGAATAGTTCTGGCACAATTTTTTCCCAGCAATCTGCAATTCATACTGGTCTTAATGTGAATAGGCTGTAAATCACATTGACATGAGATGGTTATTTGTTCATTATATTACATTTAATTGGCTTTTGATTCCTCTCTTTCAAACAGATATGGCATCAGCCCAGAGAATATTATCCTGTATGGACAGAGCATTGGCACGGTGCCTACAGTAGACCTGGCATCACGATACGAGTGTGCAGCTGTGATTCTCCACTCCCCCCTCACCTCTGGCATGAGGGTGGCCTTCCCCGACACTAAGAAGACTTACTGCTTTGACGCATTTCCCAAGTGAGTACCAAAAACTTTGGGTTCCTCTTTGTGCTTAGTTAATTGTGTGTTGCTTCCATTATACTGGAGGATTGACAGGGCATCATCATTGTGGTTTGTTTATGAGCTGATGATTTGCCTTGTCATGGCCAGCACAGATTGCAGCTATTTATGGGCGATTCACTGGGTTTTGGTTTTGGCGAGAGCAAATAGAGTGTGATGTGATGTGGATTGCTGCCGGAGATTATACTGAGCTTCTCGTTTCGACACAAAATGCGTCTGACTATCACACATTGAAATATATAATGCTAAGCATTTTTCAATCTTAAAATGAGACCTTCAGCTCTTGATTAAAGGGAATAAGAGTTATTATTCTTCAAGTTTCATTACAATAATTTTCATTGTTGCATGTCAGCTGTGACAGCGAAATAGTGGAGCTCGGAGGGAGGTTGACTATGCTCGGTGGGTGTTGTCACTCAGTGCCAGTGTAGCAGAACACATGGTCGCCATACAGCTTCATTCAAAACCACCACTGTTCTCGTACAAATGATGTGTAGTTGGCAGGCAGCTGTTTAGTTTGCTGGCACGCATCCATACACGCGTGTATACAACACATGCACCACACTTGAATGTAGTTAGCTACATAACAATTTGTAATTGTTGTTATTATTTATAAGTATTTGTATGTTCTGTTTCGAAAGTTTGTAGTCCATATGTAATTTTTTTTTATGCTGACCAAAATTAGTAAAAATGGTAATATTGTGAAATATTATTACATTTGAAAATAATAAATATTGCTTTTTCATATAATGTAAAATGTCATTTATTCATGTAATGGCAAAGCTGAATTTTCCTCAACCATTACTCCAGTCTTCAGTGCCACATGATCCTTCAGAAATCATCCTAATATGCTGATTTGCTGCACAAGAAACATTTCTTTTAATTATCAATGTTGAAAACGGTTGTGCTGCTTATTTTTGTGGAAACGCCATTCTTTCAATAGAACAGCATTTATCAATTTCTTTTTTTATTGTTATAAGTGTTTTTACTGTCACTTTTGATCAATTTAAATGGGCCCTTGCTGAATAAAAGTATTAATTTCTCACATGAAAAAAAATGCTGACCCAAACATTTTAAAAGTAGTGTATATTCTATTATTACAGATTATGTATTCAGCTGTTGAATTATACAGTACATTTAAAATATTTGGCATAAAAAGTGAACATCAAAATCTGAGTGACATTTTCAAAAATTTAAAATAAGATACAACTAATAAATTAGAAAATCCTGTTACTGGAAAGCTACAGTTTGAGCTGTTATCACGCTACTGAAAAATTAGTTGGAGCTGAAATTAATTTATGGTGTTTCATTGATCATATATGTCAAGTGGGAAATTAGCTTTTCAATCTATTAAAGGGGTCATATGATTTTGTTAAAAAGAACATTATTTTGTGTATTTGGTGTAATGAAATGTTAATGTGGTTTAAGGTTAAAAAAACACATTATTTTCCACATATTGTACATTATTGTTTCTCCTCTATGCCCCGCCTTTCTGAAACGCGTCGATTTTTACAAAGCTCATTGGTCTGAAAAGCGAGGTGTGCTGTGATTGGCCAGCTATCCAGTGCATTGGGATTGGCCGAATACCTCAAGCGTGTGACGGAAATGTTACACCCCTTACCATACTGTGATGATGCCCTGTCAGGCCGGAGCGATGATTCAAAAACATGAAAACCCATTATAAACGAGGCATTCGTTGCATCCAGTGGGGCCATAATCATGGATTATAATGACTTATACTGTCTTTTTACTCATTGCGTTGCATCGCGCCGCGTAAACATAAAACCATGTCTGCATTTATGATCGGAGAAATTACAACAAGCCCTACTCTACACTGCCCAAAAACTCGCTTTAAATATATAAAATATAAAAAC